TACCATGCTTACCCGGGGTCTGGGTTTGAGCCCACTAATAGCCGCTTGGGCGGGGAACATTACCCCCAAGATCTCAGCCTTCTAGCTTCTCAGATCCTCGAGTTATGAACCGACCCCAAAAAAAACTTTGGCGGGCCCGTACGCGGGTACCACGCGGGTTTTGGCGCCAATCTTGTGGATGGGGGCCCGTACGTGTATGTACATTATGTCCCCAAAGTTTCAGCCCCGTAGCTTTTGCTGGTCTCGAGATGAAAAATCTATACAGAGGCCCAGGTCCCCAAAGTTTCAGCTCCGTAGCTTTTGCCGGTCTCGAGATGAAAAACCGATACAGAGGCCCAGCGCACACACAGACACATCGCAGCTTTTATAGGTCCGGAGATGAAAGTGCGTGACAGACGCACACACAGGCACACAGACACACGAACACACAGACAACCTCTCGTCAATATGCGTTTTTCGCATTGCATTGCTGCAAAAAACGCATAAAAATCACACAGACAACCTCTCGTCAATATGCGTTTTTCGCATTGCACTGCTGCAAAAAACGCATAAAAACGGAGGAAATATATAACAACAAAAAATCGAACACAGACAACCTCTCGTCAATATGCGTTTTTCGCATTGCATTGCTGCAAAAAACGCATAAAAACAGCGGTAGGGGTTATGGGAGGTGGGAAGGAAATGGGAGGAGGGAGGCGTATATGATTTACGATGCTCAGTAAGAAACTTGATGCTGAATTGAAGCCGGCAAGCTTGTAGGCAACGCCTAAAATACCAGGCCAAATAAAATAAATAGCAACGCGCACCAGAGCGGCCGGTGTGATCATGCGTTTTGTGCAATTTCGGCTACCGAACGACTGCCTGTTAACGGTTTTCATTGCTTTGCACTTTGGTCCATGCAAAAATAGCTGAAACGCTGTTTGCTTCTTAAGTTGCGAAATTTCCCACCAAAATTTTCACACACCAGTACGTGAAAGCTGAATTTGAAACCTCGAAGGGTGACTATCCTTCCACAATTTCAGTCTCCTAATTTTCTGGCTTTCGAGTGATTTTTAATGACTTTTCTTGAAAAAACTTCCACGTAGACGTGGAAAATTTGCGGAATCGTATATGGGCAGCGGATGCCACGCTAAAATTTCAGCTTTCTAGCTTTTGCAGTTCACGAGACAATAATTTCCCTACCAAAACTTTCGCGGGGCCACACGTGGCGCTCAGAAGTGCGTGGAAGTTGAATTCAAATCTGCCCTAAAATTGGTCCTAAAATTTCAAATTCCTAAATTCCGTAGTTCCCGAGATAATAATTTCCCGCCAAAACTTTTACAAGACCACACGAGTTACCCACGGGACGGGGGGGGGAGGAGGGGGCTGAACTTAAATTTCCGAGTCACATGTGGGTAGGGGACATTCCCTTAAATTTCCAGCTCCCTAGCTTTTGTGGTTCCCGAGTTGAAAGTTGCGGACAAGTTGCTGCGGACACACACATACATACATACAGACAACTCTGTGACAATATGCGTTCTGTACTATTGTTACACAGCTCAAAACGCAGAAAAACCGTTTGCGCATGAAAAGGTTCACATCCGACGAACAGTTGCATTCTGAGTGACCGGACCGAATTTTCTTAGTTGCCCCGCTAACGATACTGAGTTTCTTTTGCAAAATAAGTAAGGATAACCATCTCAAGCATTTTTTTTTTTTGGACGAAATTTGCAGTTTTGCTAACAACGGACACACAATCAACTACGTGAATACTAACAAAACCATATGAAAAGTCAGAGTCACAAGGACGTATGACAGCGATTAACCAGACATCCCTAGTGTTTTGCCGAGCACTGCACTGTATCTCAGCATCACCGCTGCTTCACATGAAAAGCAAACATAGCAGTTACCTCTTATATGAGGTAGCATCGTCGCGATCATTTGTTCGACGTACGAACATCAACATCGCGATCATTTGTTCGACGTACGACCACCAACATCGCGATCATTTGTTCGACGCCCGTCATAGGAACTAACATCGCGATCATTTGTCCGACATCAGCCTCACCATCCCACTGTAATATTCGGGCTGGAAAATGGATTTTCAGCCCTTCTTGACTTCCACGTCTGCAAATAATCACTTTCATGAAGCAGAACCCAATATCCGACTAATTCCTGAGACTCTGCATCGAAGTGCTATTTGTCGCGAAACACAGTATTATCCGATAACTCCAGGAACACGAATAACAATGACTGGGCCCTCTTTTCACCTATCCTTTAAGTAGCGATTCAGAATAGGGCTGCGAGGGAGCGCAGATGACAGGGAGAATAGAGATATGATGGATGGGTGAAACTACTCACAGAACTTTCGCGCGTACCAAAAGCTTCCAATCTAGCACACGAGAGCTACAGCACACCTAGGTGGCTGTCCAAAGCACTGCGCGGTCAGGCAGGACATTATCAGGAAAGGAAGAAAATTGCTGGTCTGAGTCCATCCATCTACGGGACTTTGCAAATACCAAAAATGGCCAACGCACGGGCTGCCCGTGCGAAGATGCGTTTTTTGCAGAGTTCCCCGCAGGTTT